TTTCCAACAGGTCCCAGTCAAGGTCCCATGTGCCAGTTACATGCAGACTGCTGCAAAGGACTTGTAGGATAAGCATATGACGCATCACAAAAAATGAAGACAAAAATAATACAGGATGTGGAAGAACAAGGGTACAGTAGTAGGATCCTATGCAATATAATGAGCAGAAGGGCAGAGAATCTCTGCAAGGGAATCTCCTGTGTTACACAGATCAGTGAACTGATTCAGGAAAGCCCAGGCCACAGAAGAGTTCATTGCTGAAACTGGGTTTAAGAATGTAAGAGATTCTGTGCTCGATCCTCTGTTTTGGCTTTCAGAATGAATACCACTTCAGCATCCCTCAGTCAAACTGTTTTCTTTATGCTTTCCATGTGTATACACGTGTTCTGTATGTATGGGGTGTGTACCAGCACAGAATAGTGTAATGTCATTATACCAGCATAAAGGTATGCATGCCAGCATAGCTGTATGGATAGGGGCAAAAACTATACATGTGAAATGCCCTTTGTGCAACTGAATCCATGACAAGGTTTGTATGGTAAAAAACAAAAAAGAGAGAAAATCACACCTTTAAATGAAAAGGGTGACTCTTTATATTGTCCTTTTTGGATTAGCAACAGAATGGCTTGATAGCTACTTAGGATGCTGTAATGGAGTGCCCGTTATTTAGTAAAATTTACTTTTTCAGACAGGAGTTGTATTTCAAATTAAATAATTCAATGTGGGTGAAATCAGAATATACAGTCATGAACATTTGCAAGGGGAGAGATTTTTTTCTTTACCATTAAATCATGCTGACATTTATTTGATTTTTTGTTGTTGTTGTTGTCCTACCATAGAGCATCACATATGAGGTGACATCATACCTCACATATTAAGCAATCATTGTTACTTCAGTCTATTCTTTAAAGATGCGTTTTATAAGATGCAAAGTGTAATATTTGGCCAAAAATAATAAATGTGCTTATAATCTCTCTGACATGCAATGCAATTGATGCACACACTATTGCTTACCTTTCTGCTTCTTTTTCATGAAGAATGAAACATTTAGGATGACTGAAACAACCAGAGCCAGAGACAAAAAGGCTACAAGTCCCCAGATTAAGAAGTGACACTCAACAACATTGTCCATTTCTGCAACAAAAAGCAAAGCCCTCCTTACTCAGGTGTTGGCTAAGTGCTGTATATATTTTTAGTCTTTCTGTAGTTAAGGCTGTCACATTAAATTTTTATTCCAGTCACAGCCGCTGCCATACAACCCAATTAAATATTAGTGGAAGTGTTTAGATGCCAAATAGTAAGAAAATGGGATTGATAAAACTACTAATAGAGATGACATTTCATAGTGTGTTGCCTTGACCAAGTCTGGTGTCACCAATTGGACACCCGGAAGTGTAGAAAATTAGGAAAGTTGCTGTCATGCTAAGATGTGATGCTATCTTCTCCAAAATATCTGCTATTTGTTAACTAAATAGGTTTGTGAACTGAATTCTGAATATTACTCTTTATTTAAGCAAAACTCCTGACTGCAGAAGCTGCTGGCTTCAATGGAGTTTGCCTGATCAAGGCTGAATTCTGGATTTTGCTCTGTGCTGAGTTTTATCCCCAGGGATTGCAAGCGTTTCTTGTGAGTGTTTTTATGCCTTAATATTTTGTGGTCCTCCCCTCATTCCTGTAAAAATGTCATTCTGCTGCATTCTCCATCCCTGTCGGAAGCTGTTACGATCCCCTGCACTGTCTAGGCTTCTGCCTGGAAGTGTCTTTCTGCTCCTTTGATTGGGATGGTGAAAAAGAGGGACCCAGGAGCTGCAAAAAGTGGAACAGGTAGGACTCTATGAATATCAGAAAGATAGCAGCCAGAGTCTAGCCATAGCTAAAAAGAACTGGCAGTGGGGAAGCCAGGGTAATGAAATATAAGCAAGTTCAGCCCATCCATCTCAAGCCCTCCTCTCCTTGGAGGCTGCTGAGAAACCCAGATGAGACTCTCTCTCTCTCCCCACTTCCTGCTCTTCCCCCACCAAACCCGTGCTTCATTTTTAACAATGATACATTTTGTAAGGTGGACTCATCTCATCTAAATTCTCTACTGCCATGGGTAGATAAAAAGAGCACAGCCTCTTCGACCCTCTGCCACCAAACAGCAGTCTCACATATGTGATTACTCCCACCAGCGAAGTAGCTCCAAAATCCTTCCCTGACGGAGAAAGGCTCAACTGTGTGCTTGCTGCATTCCTGCCCTAGGTACTTGTGCATCCTGTTTTCATACTGCTGGAGTGCCTGAGATGGATACTTGTGAGACTTAAACTACAGGAGCTCTGGAACAGCTGCAGGAAAGAAGGGAGCTGTGATGGGGACTGAGTGGGCAGGTAGCAATTGGATTAAATTCTGCGTGACAACCCAAACTGGACCAGTAACATTACTCTCACTTGGTTTCTGTGAAGTTTTCTTCATGTATTCATTGTTTTGTGTTTTTTGTTGGGTTTTTTTTTTTTACCCATTCATGTGGCAAAGGACATTTTATGTTGCAGGAGGGGCCAATGATTTTGCTCCCGCAGCGAAGATAGACTGCTGCTGCTCGGCTCATTAGCTCCTGCTCTCTGTGAACACTGCTCATCCTGGCTGTAGCACTTTGTTTTATTCTCTAATTACACCATATTGCCAGAGCTGCCTTATTTATTTATTTTACTCTGATCAGCATTGCTTCTGAGATAATGAAATCCTGACTCAAGGAGCTGCTCAATGATCCATGGCAGTAGTCTTAGGAAAATGCCTCTTTTGCAAAGTGCAACCTATTGGTCACTGAAGTCAATGGAAAAACTGCAGCTGGGCCCAATTGGGCCTTTAGAACCCAATTTTGCTCCCCCTGAAGCTGGTGGCAAATCTTCCACTGGTATCAAAGACAGCACTGTCAGGGTCTCAATTATTGTTGGATGTGGGTGCATCTACACGTGTAGTAATGCACCTTTCCTACAACGCATTAAATTTAGTACCTGTAATATGAGTTACTACATAAATGCACAGTAGCCGACACTAACACTCAGTAGCAAAAGGCCCTTAATGTGCAGTAGACTAATTCTATTGTGCATTAGCACATTAGCACATTTTTTGCTGTGATGTGCTAATGCACAGTAGAATAAGTTTACTGTGCATTAAGCATCTCATGTAGGCGTGCCTTGTGTTGATTTAAATTGACCACTGAGTTGTCAGACCTAGAAACAAACCAAAAGAGCCAGGAGACCAGAGACAATGTGGGAGTTTAGTAAAATCATGAACTGCACAATTCTCTTTGGTGAAAAACAAAACCGTCTTCTACAAAAAATGTAGGAGTACCCTTCTTTCTAACAGACATTTTTTTTCTTTACAGAGTCCCTGCCACATAACTTTCTGTAGTGTCTGAAACTATAGTTTTTGTTCCTTCCTTTTTCACCCTTTACAGCCTCCCAGTTCTCTCTAAAAAATTACAAGACTCCTCACACTGCACTCTCTGAGCACCTTCTGTGTTTTGAGGGCCCATAAAGCCAGTCATGAGCATCCCCCAGCTTAGGTATAAGATCTCTGTGTAAAGATGCACAGACAACATTTCCCATAGAAACAGATTGACAGAAGACACAAAGATGATTGAGATTTGCATCCCCTCCTCCCCCAAAGTAAATTGCTTTAAACAACACGAGAAGTCAGAATCAGGAATGGAATTGAGGTCTTCTGCAGCCCACTCCAGGTGCCAACCCCCACGACCATCCTTCCTCCTGTTGTCTTCCTACTTTGACAGTAGGTATTTACTTACTTTAGTTTTCTCCACATTCCTCCCCATGTGTGTTTTATTGTTAGGCCCATGGGAAGGAAGGGCACATCATACCCTGAAGGAGGAAAACCTAAGTATCCAAACAGAAACTAGGAGATCTGTTTTCATTTGGGATAGAGAGGTTTGAAGAAGAGGATGTCTCCCAAACTGAGTTTTAATTTGACTTGACTCTGTGTGTGTGTGTGTGTGTGTGTGTGTGTGTGTG